TCAGACTTTCCTGGTAACTGCCAGATCAGTCCAGATATTGCTACATGCAGCCTTCAGACCTACAGATCCATTCAAACCTGGCTGATCTAGCATTTACTTCACTCACTGGTCCAGTTATCACATGAAAACTTTTACCTTTGTTCCACAATATGCTTTCAACTGCTGGTAAAAGGTTGAAAAGTCATATACAATGGAAGTTAACAGCTTTTTCTTAGTATTCTTATGACACTTTCACTTTGGATTTATCTTACTTCCTCTTGTATCTTTCAAACCAAAATATTGGAAAACAAAATTTGGGCTCAATTTCACTCATACTGCCACTTTGGTAGCTCTTGGACTGGTTTTATGGAATTATATGACACTATTGGGAAAATAAAAAAAAATGGCTTGCATTTTCAAGAATTTAATTCATTGGAGAATTTGTGTAACATGGGTTTTTCAAATAGTATTAAAACTGCAACTCTGACAGCAAAAGTCATAATGTTCAGTTGGTAAAGGTGAATGTGAGATGAAAGTATTTTCTTTTATGGGCTTTTCTTTCATTTTAATGGGTTCACCATCCCCTAAAACCAACATTGATTGGAAAATAATTTTAAAAGAACAAAAAAGGAAATAAAAAAAATGCATGCATTAGTAAAGAATTACTGAAGAGCCCCGTTAAGATAGTCAGTATTCTGCAACTGCAGCAAAACTCTAATGGTTTTCAAAAAAGGATGCAACAGCTAAGTAAATACTGAAATTTTCAATGTTTTCATATGTTTTGGATTTTTTAAAGGCAAAATCAACTATTACAACATATGAATGTAACTAATTTTTTTTAATAAAAAATATTATATAAAATTACTGGTTAAGTTTTAAAAATATAATTGCGAACTGTAATTTCATAAACAAGGAGAATGTAAATCTGCAGCCAGTGCCAAAAAATATGTTAAGTATTTTGTTCTAAGGAACATCCTAAATGCTTTCATTAAAATTTTATTTTTAATATACTTATATAACTTGTAAAGTATAAATTGGAAGCAGAAATAACAAGAGGAAAGCTGCAGCCAGTGCCACAGAAAAGTTGTTAAGTATTATTCAAGATCAAAGTACACTCCTAAGTGCTTTCATAAAATTTTATTATATATGTAGTATAACATGTAGGTAGTAGGTTGGTAGACAGCAACCGCCCAGGTAGGTACTACCGTCCTGCCAAGCGAGTGTAAAACGAAAGCCTGTAATTGTTTTACATGATGGTAGGATTGCTGATGTCTTTTGTCTGTCTCATAAACATGCAAGATTTCAGGTATGTCTTGCTACTTCTACTTACACTTAGGTCACACTGTACATACATGTACAAGCATAAATATACACACCCCTCTGAGTTTTCTTCTATTTTCTTTCTAGTTCTTGTTCTTGTTTATTTCCTCTTATCTCCATGGGGAAGTGGAACAGAATTCTTCCTCCGTAAGCCATGCGTGTTGTAAGAGGCAACTAAAATGCCGGGAGCAAGGGGCTAGTAACCCCTTCTCCTGTATATATTACTAAATGTAAAAGGAGAAACTTTCGTTTTTCCTTTTGGGCTACCCCACCTCGGTGGGATACAGCCGATATGTTGAAAGAAGATGTAGTATAACAGTTTTGCACACGGAGTGATGACCTTCTTAACATGCTTAGTTCTGAAGATAAATTTATTATAAAACTGGTTAATGGCATGGCAAAGAAAGACTATTTTTATCTTGTAGCATGCAAGTTCACTAATGTTCAGTTAAAATGAGGTAGCTTTAGATTTCAACTTCAAACTCTCAAAATTATATTACCCAGACTTGAGTTCTTGAGGTGGGAGGTACAGTGCCTGCACTCTAAAGGAGGGGTTTGGGATATTTGCTGTTTTTTTTTTTTATAGTACAATATATTGCTCAACTTATTTTTTTTTTATTATTATCACACTGGCCGATTCCCACCAAGGCAGGGTGGCCCGAAAAAGAAAAACTTTCACCATCATTCACTCCATCACTGTCTTGCCAGAAGGGTGCTTTACACTACAGTTTTTAAACTGCAACAATAACACCCCTCCTTCAGAGTGCAGGCACTGTACTTCCCATCTCCAGGACTCAAGTCCGGCCTGCCGGTTTCCCTGAACCCCTTCATAAATGTTACTTTGCTCACACTCCAACAGCACGTCAAGTATTAAAAACCATTTGTCTCCATTCACTCCTATCAAACACGCTCATGCATACCTGCTGGAAGTCCAAGCCCCTCAACTTATTATATATAACAAATCAGATCTTACTCCCAAATCAATATTATATCATAGTGACTATCTGTCATTTTAACTTTGTTTACCATTACTTAATTTAGTCCCTTATATTTTTTCTCTTTTATTTTAGCTTTATATAACAACCTTAGTTCATATATTCACAATTGTTAAAATAATCAAGGCGCTATTCTCAGGTGCTAAAGTGTAATAAGCTCATTATTTTGCCATTATATTCATTTATTTGATTACCACTTTTTTGTTCACCACAAATTATTTTAGTCCCTTTTATATTGCCTCATTTATTTTAGCTTTAAAGAGCTACCTTAGCTCATATTTTTTTACATTTGTTAAAATAATTCAGGTGCTATTTTATAGCTTTAGAATATTTACTTTGTCTTATACTTAATTCTAACTATAGATTCACTATAAATCTTATGATAACTAGCATTGATCCTGATCCTGTTGTAAATGACCATATGACCTGTCTTTGTAATACTCATTTGTACTAAATTGTTATGTTTTACAATAATTTTTGTACCACTGAATATATCATTGCTTAGTTAATCTTAAGTTAATTTTAAGCCTGCCCATAATGCTCTGCATACAAGGGGCTTTGGCATGCTGCACTTTAAAAATTTTATTCCTTGTACTTCTCTGTATCATGTTCAAATAAATAAATAAATAAAAAATAAATAAGAGATACATCTAAACTGTTGTATCTGTGCGCCTCTGGCAAGACAGTGATGGTGTGAACGATAGTGAAAGTGTTTCTTTCTCGGACCATCTTACCTTGGTGGGAGACAGCTAGCACGTAAAAAAAAAAATGCACTGTATATCAAAATGACTGAGTAAAATACTTTTATCTTACTATTACAACAAAAGCAGTATTTTTTGTTAATACACAAGTCATTACTATACTCACTGCCCAATGCACTGTGTCCATAGGTTGCAGATATGAATTTATATTATACTCACAGAATGGACAGGACAAACACATGTTAAGCCAGGCCTATGACTGGAAGGCCAGTGCATTAACCCCATACCATGCCACCTGAATAGGAGTTAATAGGATTCACTAGGTGTATCTCTATGCAAACTAGGAAAGTTAGAGTGGGCCACACTGTGGGGCCCATGCTAACCTTCTTAGTGTGTGTATAGAGATACACTTAGTTGGGCAAATTCTATCAGACTGGCACTGTACAGTAGCTGGCACACTGGTAAGTCAATTTTGGGACTTGCTCAACATGGGTTCAAATCTCATCCATTATGTGAGTTATGTAAAGTCATGTTATTACATTTTTGCAAGTCATTTATACATTTTCAAGTACATCCATCCAATTTAAATACATAATTGATTGAGGTTTTAATGCCATATAGCTCCCACATGGTCATACAGCTTGATATTCTGCAACTTTGAAAATGTTAAGGTGTCTCTTTCAAAACTCCATTTTTCACTTCATAGTTTATACACAGTTTGAATGCCTATTCACATCTCCATAATACCACAAAGATTTGTAATAATCATTCTGAAGACACAATGCAAAGTAAACCCAATGAAAAGCAAGGATGCAATAAGTACAATTAGAGAATGCACTGTAAACATCTGAGGTACAAGATTTTCAACTATATCAGCAGATATAATAAATATTGCCAATATAAAGGTGGAAGTCTTCAACAGAAAACTAGACAAGTCAGTTTAAGAGGTGCCTGATCAGCTGAGTGTAATGGTTATGAAGGCTTGTTAGCTTTGAGGGAGACACAACTTGACTGATCACACAATCACCAGGTAAGTCTGGCCAAAGGCTGGGCTGCTGACAATAAAAAAAATCCCAAAACTGGCATGGGTAAGAAAGTGGCAACCATCGACCTTCTGCCCAATGTTTACACTAGTGATAACATAGTATATGAGGTGGGTTTCAATAAAAGCATTAAAAGAAATAACCCAATTTGAATGAGCCACCAATAACACTACATTACACTTGCAGACTTCGATGTTTTTTTATGCCAATATATGTGATGCTTGTTTGTAATTTCTTTAGCTTCATTTAACACTTAATTACTATTGGCTTGTCAACTTATACTGGAAATCACTCTCTCAAGGGTTGAACACGAAATTCTGACTGAGCTACAAAAAATTTGAGTCAAAATATCAAAATAAAATGAATAATATTAAAAAAAAAAAAAAAAACTGGCGAATTGCTTACTTTTACGTCATGAAGACATTTGGTTTCCAGAAACATAAAATCCTTACACTTTAATTAATGCAATTATCAGATTGTGACAATATCACCTCTGACTTTCACACCACATTAATTGTATACCTACATTAAGTATACTGTAAAACAAAATCAGTGTGAAAGAGCAAGTGTATAAAAAACTACAGCACAAATCAAGCAACACAGACTATTACATATCAGAAGATAAAAATGTGTGTAAAAAATATGTTTCATTAAAATCATATTAATAGAAAAAATTTCCAGCATTTCTAATGAAAATTCCTGCCTATAAAAAACTTGTGGCTATCCAATAGCCCAGAAAATATCAACATGTAGTTTAAAAGGCACAAAGTTAATTAATAAAAAATGAGCCAACCTTGGGACAAGTTAAAAAAAAAAAAAAGCTAATGAACTATAAACATACAAAAATGTAATTTTACAATTATGACCAACATGGTGTATTCCTTCCGAGAAAGACTATTGATGAACCATATAACCAGGTCTGATTAATGATATAAGTACCTGCATCTCCAAACTACTTTTACCTTTAACAGACTTCTGCAGTATTCTGTAGATCTTGGCTCGCAGATTCTGGAAGACTATAGCACCAGATGGCAGATTTGAAGTATAGTCTTCAAGAGTAGTTGATGATTCATATGGTTCCCCCCTTAGTATTGTGTACAAATGGCGGCCCAGTTGACTATCTACGTGGCGTAAACGAACTCTTTCCATGATATCCAAACCCTAAAAGACCATTGTCATAGATATATAGACAGAAAGGAAAAAAACATGATCAAAATTAAGTTCAACATTTATACACAAATAATATACAATATCAGAATTGTTTTACAGTGCCTATACTGTACAGTATACACATACAGTAGTTAAGTAAATTTGTTCATAAAAAAAAAAAGCAGTATACAGTAAACCCTCTATTAATGCACAGATTATGGTCCTGAAAATTGGTACCTGAAAATGAAAATGACAATACAAATCTTTCTTTTTTTTTCTTATAAACATACATAGAAGTTACAAGGGTTAAGTTTACAGTTCATTTGGTTACAGTTATGATACATTTATAATATAAATGCTAACTTATAATGGCATTAAATGAACTGAAAATCATATGGGAAAAAAAAGTCCCATATGGGGAAAAAGGTGACTGGTACACTCAGGAGTCTGTACATACAAAACATATTATCTATGGAAGCAAGAGAGGAATGTATGAGAGTATAGAGGCACAAATGCTCTTATATGGGTGTGAAACCTGAGTCATGAATGTTGCAACAAAGAGAAGGCAGGAGGCAGTAGAAATGTCATTTCTGAGGGCAATGTGTGGTGTGAATATTATGCAGAGGATCCATAGCTTGGAGATTAGGAGGAGGTGTGGGGTTACTAAAAGTATTATCCAGAAGGTTGAAGTGGGGTTGTTGAGGTGGTCAGGACATATAGAGGATGAAACAAAATAGAATGACTTGGAGGGTGTATAAATCTGTAGTAGAAGAAAGATGGGGTAGGGGTCATCCTATGAAAGGTTGGAGGGAGGAGGGTAAAGGAGGTTTTGTGTGTGAGGAGCTTAGACTTCCAGCAAGTGTGCATGAGTGTGTTAGATAGAAGCGAGTGGAGGCAGATGTTTTTTTATGACGATGTGCTGTTGGAGTGTGAGCAAAGTAACATTTACAAATTGATTCAGGACTTGAGTCCTGCAGGTGGGAAGTACAGTGCCTGCAGTCTGAAGGAGGGGTGGAGATATGTTGCAGTTTTTGAACTGTAGTGTAGGCATGCCTCTGGCAAGACAGTGATGGGGTGAATAATGATGAAAGTGTTTCTTCTTTTTCGGGTCACCCTGCCTCAGTGGGAAACAGGTGATGTGTTAAAAAAAAAAAAAAAATTGTGTCTATACTGTATAACTTCTATTTCATATTTGGATTCACTTTGTATTTCACAGACCATAATTCATTAAATATTACTAACTTGGTTAATATTAATATTCATAAGATTAGAATGACCACAATAAACAGTGATTAAGACATGGGAAAGAAGAAAACTTTTCGATAACTGAATTATGGAAATAAGAAACCATGCTTATTTGGGGGCTCAATGGTACTCTCATATTTCTTCAAGCTATCTCAGATGGTGGTTTGAAGTTTAAAAAGGGGAGATTTTCCTGTTTCCTGGAACATTCTCAGCAACATTTTTGTTTGCTTTCTCACAGTTATCAAATCATTAAGCACTAAATTTACCCGGCTGTAAAGGCTCTATTTTCATATCAAACACAGCTTTATAGTACAACAGGCGTCTTATTATCTGGGTACTAAGTAAGGCACTTTTTTTTTCCCTCCTCATTTTACAAATTTAGTCAATTTTCTGTCTTATTTAGCTGTAATGACCTCTTCATTGTCTCCTAATTGCTATGCTCTGAATTCTCTGCATAATAATTACCCCACACATTTCTCTCACACATGACATCTTTACTGTTCTCAGCGTCATTCTTGCTGCAGTGGTTAAAACCCATATCTCACAACCATCCAAAGGCATTAGCACCACTACACTCTGGTGCATTTTTCCTTTTGCCTCCAAAGATAAACTTCTTTCTTTCCACAGATGCTTTAACATGCCTCCCACCTTTTTGTCCTCATCTGTTCTATAGTTCACCTCATCATTCATAGACCTATCTGCCAACATGTTCACTTCCGAATACCTGAATATTCACATTCACATCATACTCCCTCCAATCTGACATTAAATCTTTCACTGCCTACTTTTTTGTTACTCTCATTATTGTGGTCTTTTAATTTCCTTCTTTTACATACCCCCTCAATTTTCTTCACCAGCCTTTGCAACTTCTCAATTCAAGTTTATTCTCTATAAGGGTTACAATGTGGGGTTTACAGGTTTTGGGTATTGTGTGGTTTACATGTTATAAAATACTAATTACAGAGGGGCTACTAGGACACCTAGCATGGCTAGGCATTTCGGGCAGACTTAGATTAATTCTTAACATTAAATCCTTACAGATTATGGTATTAAGGCTAAGTGATTGCATCATAATTTGTGAGTTTAGCAATGTGAATGCTTTTGTTTTGGCACAATACAAAGTGTCTATATTGGAGTATCATAGGCAAACTTATGACTGGTTAGGATTTATTATTTTAGGATTAAGATTAGTATTTCTGGGTTTATAGTCAGTGGGTGAGTGAGTGTAATTGTGAACCACCAGGTGGTTATCATGTAGTTAGTTGTTGGGGTGTATCAGGGAGATAAGATGTTTTCTAACTGTAGTTTTGAAAGTGATGAATGTGTCTGCAGTTCTAGAGTTTTCAGGTAGGGTGTTCCAGATTTTAGGTCCTTAGAAATACATTGAATTTTTGTAAAGGTTTAGTCGAACACAGGGAATGTCATAGAGATGTTTGTGTCTGGTGTTATGCCTGTGGATCCTGTCACAACTATCAAGAAAGCATTTTAGGTCAAGGTTAATATTGGAATTTAAGGTCCTGTAGATCTAGATTGCACAGTAGTAAGTGTGGATGTTCTGAACAGGGAGTAAGTTTAGATCTATGAAGAGTGGGGGGGGGGGGTGTTGCCAGGGATGGGATTTAGTGATTATTCTTACTGCGGCTTTTTGTTGGGTTATTATTGGCTTTAGGTGTGTTGCTGCAGTTGAACCCCAAGCACAGATAGCATAGGTGAGGTATGGATATATAAGTGAATGGTATAGTGTGAGAAGGGCAGTTTGCGGCACGTAGTATCGTATCTTGGAGAGGATCCCCACCGTTTTGGATACTTTTTTTGTTGTGTTGGATATGGGTGCTGAAATTTAGGTTGTTGTCAAAGTATAGGCCAAGGAATTTGCCCTCATTATGTCTGGCAATTAGAGTGTTGTCGATCTTAATGTTAAGTTGCGCAACACCTGCTCTGCTACCAAACATAATATAGCAGGTTTTGCCAGTGTTAAGTGTAAGTTTATTGGCTGTCATCCAAGTCTCTTCAAAATCTCCCAAAAGAACTGTCATCAGCAAAGTGCAACTATGACAACTCCCACTTTATCTTCAGATTCATTATGTTTTACTCCTACACTTTTCCCAAGCACCATAGCACTCTCTTATTTTACAACCTCATATATAATGTTGCAGTTTAAAAACTGTAGTGTAAAGCACCCTTCTGGCAAGACAGTGATGGAGTGAATGATGGTGAAAGTTTTTCTTTTTCGGGCCACCCTGCCTTGGTGGGAATCGGCCGGTGTGATAATAAAATAAAAAATAAACAACAATAGTGAAAGTAGGTCTTAGACAGGGATGTGTAATGTCACCATGGTTGTTTAATATATTTATAGATGGGGTTGCAAAAGAAGTAAATGCTAGGGTATTGGGGAGAGGGGTGGGATTAAATTATGGGGAATCAAATACAAAACAGGAATTGACACAGTTACTGTTTGCTGATGATACTGTGCTTACCTGGAGTTTACCTGGAGAGAGTTCCAGGGGTCAACACCACCGCGCCCCAGTCTGTGACCAGGCCTCATGGTGGATCAGAGCCTGATCAACCAGGCTGTTACTGCTGGCTGCATGCAATCCAATGTATGAGCCACAGCCAGGCTGGTCAGGTACCGACTTTAGGTGCTTGTCCAGTGCCTGCTTGAAGACAGCCAGGGGTCTATTGGTAATCCCCATTATGTATGCTGGGAAGCAGTTGAACAGTCTCGGGCCCCTGACACTTATTGTATTGTCTCTTAACGTGCTAGTGACACCCCTGCTTTTCATTGGGAGGATGTTGCATCGTCTGCTGAGTCTTTTGCTTTCGTTGTGAGTGATTTTTGTGTGCAAGTTCAGTACTAGTCCCTCTAGGATTTTCCAGGTGTATATAATCATGTATCTCTCCTGCCTGCATTCCAGGGAGTACAGGTTCAGGAACTTCAAGCGCTCCCAGTAATTGAGGTGTTTTATCTCCGTTATGCGTGCCATGAAGGTTCTCTGTACATTTTCTAGGTCAGCAATTTCACCTACCTTGAAAGGTGCTATTAGTGTGCAGCAATATTCCAGCCTAGATAGAACAAGCGACCTGAAGAGTGTCATCATGGGCTTGGCATCCCTAGTTTTGAAGGTTCTCATTATCCATCCTGTCATTTTTCTAGCAGATGAGATTGATACAATATTATGTTCCTCGAAGGTGAGATCCTCCGACATGATCACTCCCAGGTCTTTGACGTTGGTGTTTCGCTCTATTTTGTGGCCGGAATTTGTTTTGTACTCTGATGAAGTTTTAGTTTTCTCATGTTATCGGAGTAATTGAAATTTCTAATCGTTGAACTTCATATTGTTTTCTGCAGCCCATTGAAAGATTTGGTTGATGTCCACCTGGAGTCTTGCAGTGTATGCAATGGAAGACACTGTCATGCAGATTCGGGTGTCATCTGCAAAGGAAGACACGGTGTTGTGGCTGACATCCTTGTCTATGTCAGATATGAGGATGAGAAACAAGATGGGAGCAAGTACTGTGCCTTGTGGAACAGAGCTTTTCACCGTAGCCACCTCAGACTTTACCCTGTCGACTACTACACTTTGTGTTCTGTTTGTGAGGAAATTATAGATCCATCTACCAACTTTTCCTGTTATTCCTTTAGCACGCATTTTGTGCGCTATTACACCATGGTCACATTTGTCGAAGGCTTTTGCAAAGTCTGTATATATTACATCTGCATTCTTTTTGTCTTCTAGTGCATCTAGGACCTTGTCGTAGTGATCCAG